CTTCGCCCTCCATATTGCGTATCACCATTAACCGGGATGTCGTGTCCCTTACTCTGCAGAGTTTTGCCTATTTATATAAATTGAATTATATTTTAGGTATTATCGTATAAGTTGCTCATTCGCTCAACATATTTTTGAGAATCATTCAAGGCAGATCATCTAGCTGCAGCTTTATTTTTTTATATATAAATTTATTTTTTATTGGTGTTCAATTTGCCAACATATAGAATAACACCCAGTGATCATCCCGTCAAGTGCCCCCCTCAGTGCCCGTCACCCATTCACCCCCACCCCCCGCCCTCCTCCCCCTCCACCACCCCTAGTTCATTTCCCAGAGTTAGGAGTCTTTATGTTCTGTCTCCCTTTCTGATATTTCCCACACATTTCTTCTCCCTTCCCTTATATTCCCTTTCACTATTACTCATATTCCCCAAATGAATGAGAACATACACTGTTTGTCCTTCTCCGATTGACTTACTTCACTCAGCATAATACCCTCCAGTTCCATCCACGTCGAAGCAAATGGTGGGTATTTGTCGTTTCTAATGGCTGAGGAATATTCCATTGTATCCATAGACCACAGCTTCTTTATCCATCATCTTTCGATGGACACTGAGGCTCCTTCCACAGTTTGGCTATTGTGGACATTGCTGCTAGAAACATTGGGGTGCAGCAGTTTTAAAACAAAATCACTTTTGTCTTACATTAATGTGATACAAACTAATCACTCATGGGGCATGAACATTTTGTGTTGTGGAGCACTCACATCTTCAGCTCCATGAGAGACTGCCATAGTGTATTCCCCACTCATTATAGGGGGAGCTTCTTGAACCCCAGGTCTTTCTAAGGGCTAGCTTATATGTGCTCATCAATACATCTTTCCTGTTGAGGAAAGGCTGTCCTCAAACCCCTTCCATTCCAGCCCCTCGGGGACACCTGCCATTGGGACGCCCGAAGCATGTGACACATCATGGATGGGAGCCTCTCCTTCCTGCCCCTACTGCTAGTGGTTCTGTGACCCCTTGGGTCCCCGTGAGAAATTCTGCTGAGCCATGCTGGGCAGCTGCTGGCGGACTCCTCAGCGATGCACTTCAGAGCTGCTGTGTGCCACTGAACCACTGCTTCATAGCAAAGTGGAGAAACCCTTCTGCCTTGAACCACATTTTGTTAGCTTGGCCCTTCTTGTTCCTCATTCTTCCTCTGTCTCAGCAGATACTTTTATATGTAAACAATTCTCTCACCCCTTTAACAAAAAAGAAAACCAAGCGTCTCTTTCCATTTGATGTCTAGCCTGACTCACAGACCCAGCTTCCCAAAGGTGTGCCAACCTCACGAAAGGGGAGCATGGCGACAAGTGTTCCCCTAATTAACCAAATGGGACGTGGAGTTGCTGTCCCTGTGACTGGGGAGAGCTTTTCTGAAGAAAGCCTTTCTCCCCCTGGAGGCTTCCTGAGACACCTAGAGTTGTGGCTGCAGTTATAACAGTCCTGTTTGTTGGGCCACAGAACAATGGAGACGAAGACATTTGGCAAACGGAAGTGTCTCCCTAAGTTCTGAAAGAGGTGGCTATGGGATGAGGGGTGGACTCTGTGCTTTGGTGGGTGCACGGGTGGCATTTTGCTATATATTAAGAAAGACTGTCACACGACCAGATTTTTTTTTTTTCTGTTGGTTTTCAGTGAAGACCTGTGGAAACTTCATTGAGGTTTTGCAGACACATGAGGTAGGGGGAAAAGATTCTTAGCTCAGGGATGAAAGGGTTGGTGAATTTGGGTCTCAAGATTACTGGACAGCGATAACAAGCATCTATTTAATTTTGTCTGTGCCACAAGCTCTATGACTCTTTTGACCCCCTCTGATTTCTGGGTTAAATTCTGATGTAGGATGCTTGCATTTTATTTAGTCAAGTCAGAAAATGCTCTTAATGCTGTGGCAACTGGTGGAGCTAAGTAGTTGAGATTCTGAGCTACCCATCCTTCCAGAAAACACAGGAGTCCAGTTAGATATGGTTTGAGGCCCAAGAATCTACTTCAAATTGCATATATATATATGTATATATAGTGCACTATATATATTCTTTCCTTTCTAAAGACTCAAGTTTCTGATGACCTGCCAATTTTTCCCTCCTCTGAGTTTCAATTTCCTAATTTCAAAATGTACTGGCCACTGAGCACAGTGCTGACTTCCCTATTTATCTCCTGGCTACCCCTGAAAGAAGAATTGAGAATAACAGCGTTAACGTCTGTCATATGAGGAATTCAAATAGGGGATAATAGAACTAAGAGATACTGGGATGTCAAAATGAGTTAAAAATCTCATATACATCCATATTATTTATCATGCTAAGAAGTTCAGGCTTTATTTGGAAGCCTGTGTGATCCACCTCCAGGTCTATTTTCAGACACGGTATTGACAGCTTTGCATTTAAGAAAGATTATTCCAGGAGCTGGGTGGAGGGAAAACTGAGACAAATCAAGGTGGAAAACACGAATCTAGGTAGGAGTAATTAAGGCAAGAAACCATCAAAGCACACATTATTTTTTCTTGTGAATCTCTCTTTTTTTTAGGTAGAAGTTTTCTTACAGAAAAACAAAGGGAAATCTTATCTCTCATATTTCTCCTGTTTCAACACAGATTTCATAATCTGCTGCATCTATAAAAAGCAAGAACAAAAAATTTTTAAGAAACTATTTGGTTGTCATATACCAAGCTGACTTTTTGTCTGTTTAAATCCTCTGGTATTCTGATCTCAAAATAATTTTATCTATTTTTTTTCATATCTGTTGCCAGTTCACAGTCGTCTCTTTTGGGTAGATATCAGTAGCTTTCTCCATTTATGTTTTTACGTATTTCAATCTTAAAAAATTGAGATTTAATTGGCAGTTAACATTGTGTAAGTTGAAAGTGTGCATGTTGGTGTGATGCTCTGGTATATACTGGAGTCCGATCGCTGTCGCACTGCCGTCTCGTCACGTGCACGTGGAGGCCCCATCACCAACACCTTCACCACCAGGTGTTTTCATGCAGTGACGGCAAGTCTCGGAAATCTGCCTCACGTGCGGACGTTTATGAGTCAGCTGGCGCCGAAGCATAGTCAAAGCTGTTCTTAGAAGCTCATGCAAGTCCCAACTTTATTTTTTCTTCTTCTTTATTACTGAGGTATAATTGACATATAATGTTATATGAGTTTGGGGTGAATAACATAAAGACTTGGCAATTGTGAACCCTACACATGTGCACCATGAGAACGGTGGCTGCCGCCGGTCACCATTCACCGTGATTATATCGTTGATTTTATCCTCTATGCTGTACTTTTCTTTCCCATGACTTATCTTATAACTGCAAGTTTGTACATCTTGATCTCTTTCACCCAAATCTCTGTACTTTATACTCTCCAATTAGAGGAAGGAATAAAAGTTTCAGTCAAAGACAAAATGTAACAAAATTCTCCCTGGAAGAAAAGCCAACCGAGTGATGGAGATCAGCTGGTGGATCCTCTGTTAGGGTGAGCGCAGGAATGAATGCCTCATGGACCTACTGTGCCCTCTCGGGTTTAGGGGTGGCTTGGGTCACTGTCTTATTTTATCACTTCCCGGGAGGGTTTACGTGTACTTCTAGCCAATCCACACATCTTCATCACCTGGTTTTTTACTCTTCCCTCACCTCCCACAGATTCTCGTGTTCTGTATGCCACTAGTTCTCAACTGGAGCAATTTTACTCCCTCTCCCCCTCTGCTGGGACATTTGGTGATTTTTTTTTAAAATTTTTTAAATTTTTATTTATTTATGATAGTCACAGAGAGAGAGAGAGAGGCAGAGACACAGGCAGAGGGAGAAGCAGGCTCCATGCACCGGGAGCCCGATGTGGGATTCGATCCCGGGTCTCCAGGATCGTGCCCTGGGCCAAAGGCAGGCGCCAAACCGCTGCGCCACCCAGGGATCCCACATTTGGTGATTTTAGAGACATTTTGGTGATCGTGACTAGGAGAGAGGTCTGTGCCATTGACACCTAGTGGGTAGAGGCCAGCATTGCTGCTAAACATCCTACAATGCACAGGAAAGTATCCCACGTTTCACTTCCAGCGAAGAATCATCTGGTCCAAATGTTGGTTTTGAAGACCTGTTCTGTGCTAATTAAAGAGCCGTATGGTGTGGGTACAGATATGGATAGTTGAAGCTCTAGCCAACCTGCTGTTGGGCGTAGACTGTCGATCACTCTTTCAAATGTCACCAAACCCTCCTAGAGCTTGATTTCTAGATTAATATATTCCAACTATTAACTAATCATCTTTGGATTCAGGTAAGATTAGTTTGCACATACAGACACATCGCATGGCTCTGAGCTCTTATATTTTAAAGTAAGTTAAATTTAGCATCATATTTGGCTTTATCTTTTTACTCCTTGGTTAATGATGAGGCTGGTCAAGGGAAGCCTGCACCAGCACTTCAGTGTTTCAGACACTCACCGTGAATGGTCTTACTCTTACCCATAGAGGGGATCATTCTGTCACAATTCATTTTGTGTCTCTGACATTTCACCTCAAACAATAAAAATGCCTACCTACCTAAGTTGCTTCCAACTTACTATTATAATGGATATTCCAATGCATCTTTGTACATCATATTTTAACATTCAAAATATTCTCCTTATGCTCTATGGTGAAAGTCAGGCTCTAAACAGTCTCAAGAGTCTCAGTAAAAAATCACCAAAATGTCATTTAGGGGAGTTTGTACCAACTTAAATGTCCAAATAGCAAGATTGTCTGCTTAGCTAACAGAATAGTTGATATTGTAAGAGCTCAGGGTTACTGATAAGTATTTGCAAATCAGACAGGATCACTTTATCGTTTGCAAAGCAACTCACATACACATTTTACTTATGAACCTCATTTCCAGGCTGTTGAGCTGCTTGAAAAGAAAGGCCCCATCATTTAAATGCAGGTGGGGCTCTGACTGTCCGTATTTGATTCCATCTGCTGACAAGTGGCCTTGCTGAAAACATGGATCCGGAGAATCAGACAGGGGTGGCCGAGTTCTATTTCTCCGATTTCCCTCCGTTTGGGAATGGCAGCCTCTTACTCTTCACTCCTCTGCTCTTTATTTATGTGTTCATTATTGTGGGAAACTTCACCATCTTCTCTGCTGTCTGGCTGGACGCCCGCCTCCACAACCCCATGTACAATCTCATCAGTGCCTTCTCCTTCCTGGAGGTCTGGTACACCACAGCCACCATCCCCAAGATGCTCTCCAACCTCATCAGTGAGAAGAAGACCATCTCTTTCATTGGCTGCCTCCTGCAGATGTATTTCTTCCACTCGCTTGGGGTCACAGAAGCCCTAGTCCTCACGGTGATGGCCATCGACAGGTACATTGCCATCTGCAACCCCCTCCGCTATGCAATCATTATGACCTCTCGGCTATGTGTTCAGCTTTCCACCGGGTCTTGCATCTTTGGCTTCCTTATGCTGCTGCCAGAGATTGTGTGGATTTCTACTCTTCCCTTTTGTGGCCCCAACCAAATCCATCAACTCTTCTGTGACTTTGAACCCGTGCTGCGCTTGGCCTGTACAGACACGTCCATGATTCTGGTTGAAGACGTGATCCATGCCATTTCCATCCTGACTTCTATGACTGTCATCAGCCTTTCGTATTTAAGAATCATCACAGTGATCCTGAGGATTCCCTCAGGGGCGAGCCGTCAGAAGGCGTTCTCCACTTGTGCGGCCCACATTACTATTTTCTTGCTGTTTTTTGGCAGCGTGGCCCTCATGTACCTGCGCTTCTCTGTCACGTTCCCACCTCTACTGGACAAGGCCATTGCACTGATGTTTGCTGTCCTTGCCCCGCTTTTCAACCCGATAATTTATAGCCTGAGGAACAAAGACATGAAAGATGCCATCAGGAAAGTTCTCTGTTTCCGATCAATGTTCAATGTCTCTGGTAGCCAATGAGAGTTCACAGGCATCTGTTCAAATATCTCCTTCCATTTAAAATGCTAACTAATCAGTTTCTAAAATTACCACGTACACTTTTCATGTTGCTGTTTGGGCATTTTTTTTCCAGCTTTCTAAACTAGGAACTATTATTTGATCCAAGAGAGGAGGTCTTCTGTGATTCACCCATCGTTACATCATTTACAGATTATAATGGGATATTTTTCCACTTTGGAGCTCTACATAGCGTGGTATTATCTTCTTCAAATCAAAGGAGAATATGAGGCTGAATAATAATCATATTTATTTCTTACACATTTGAAAACTCTCCTTTCCTGCTCTTTTATTCTATATTCACAATAGTCTTACATCAGGGTGTTTTTCTTTTTTTTCAGTTTAAAAAATTAACAAGAGGGGATCCGTGGGTGGCTCAGCAGTTTAGCACCACCTTGGGCCCAGGGTGTGATCCTGGAGACCCGGGATCGAGTCCCATGTTGGCCTCCTTGCATGGAGCCTGCTTCTCCCTCTGCCTGTGTCTCTGCCTCTCTCTGCGTGTCTCATGAATAAATAAATAAAATCTAATAAAAATTAAAAAATTAAGAATTAACAAGATGTGCAGCAGTGAGATGGATTTGGCCTGCATGAGAAACCCTAGTTCCTAACATTCATCCCAGAGGCCTTCACCTTCCCTGGGTTGTGGTCTGACACATGACAGTGACAATGCAGCACATAGAGCCACTGGCTTCACAACATCCATGTCATCCTGTTCTCATCAGCTCCTTTGTGGTTATGTTTCCCATTGCCTTAAAAATTCCAGAGCAGACATTCTTGGAACTTTGAAGATTAAATAGATGAGCTTTTTAGGCTTGAGACCAAAACAGGAAATATATGAATTATGTAAGGGTGTATATGTGTTCATTTTTTAAATTGACGTCACTATATTAAAATACTCCATGTTGTGTTAGGTTTTAATAAAATGTCATATCCACCTCACCTTGGTGTCTTTGTTCTTACTGCTTTTCTGCCCTGGATTGTTTCTCCCTGCCTCCTTCTCTGCCTTGGAACCTACTCAAAAAGCTCACACACATGCTATCCACCGGGATAAAGGTCTCTGCCTTCCTCCCAAACTGCACCAGTAGTTTTAGGGGCTGGGTGAAATGTCTCTGGGAAAAAGAAGTGTTGGCTCAGCTCCTGTGGGAAGCAAATCAAGGACACAGGGCAATTGTCAGTGGTTTCATAAAGAGAAGAAGCGAACCAGAAGGTGGGGAAAGACGGGAAAGGTGTCAAGAACAGAAGTCAGTAGGATAGGGCACGAGAAACAAGTCTCGGTCAGCTCCAACCTTGCCGCTGGATGAATTCTTGGACCCATTTGGGAGAGCTGACGTGGAAGGAGAGCTGGCTGGGTCCTGGGGGCCCCAGGGGCATCTTTTATCCCCTTACTCCTGGAAATGCAAATCCCCTCTCATATTTTTGTGAGCTTTTAGAAACTCAAGAAAAAAAATTCTGTGCTAAGAAAGTTATACAGAAGTTTGGTTATAAAATCAAACTAAATTTACTTAAGGTAAACATTAAGGAATCTAGTTGATATTAGAGTTCCTGCTTAGAAACCTTAGTATTCTATTTATAAATCTAATAGATTTAATCATTTGCTATTAGAGATGTTTGATAAATATTTGCTCTGAGGGCAGCCCTGGTGGCACAGTGGTTTGGCGCCGCCTGCAGCCTGGGGTGTGATCCTGGAGACTCAGGATCGAGTCCCATATGGGGCTTCCTGCATGGAGCCTGCTTCTCCCTCTACCTGTGTCTCTGCCTCTCTCTGTGTGTGTCTATGAATAAATAAATAAATAAAATCTTAAAAAAATATTTGCTCTGATTTATAAACTTGGCAAATAAATCCTTTTAAACGACATTTAAATATGGTATACAGTATTTTTTTGAGCTCCACAATTTTCTGACTTAATTAACAACGCCTCCACAGGTTTCAAAAACAACCTTTATAATATGAAAAAAATTATAAATATGGCTAGTCCTAAATTCTTTGAAATGTTTCCATCTGTGATAAACATGGTAAGATTTCTTTCTTTCTTTCTTTCTTTCTTTCTTTCTTTCTTTCTTTCTTTCTTTCTTCTTTCTTTCTTTCTTTGAGTTCTTTTCTTTTTTGTTTTTTTTTTATTGGAGTTCGACTTGCCAACATAAAGTATAACACCCAGTGCTCATCCCATCAAGTGCCCCCCTCAGTGCCCGTCACCCAGTCACCTCGTCCCCCCGCCCACCTTCCCTTCCCCTCCCCTTGTTCGTTTCCCAGAGTTAGGAGTCTCTCGTGTTTTTGTCACCATTTCTGATATTTCCCACTCATTTTCTCTCCTTTCCCCTCTATTCCCTTTCACTATTTCTTATATTCCCCGAATGAATGAGACCATATGATGACTGTCCTTCTCTGATTGATTTATTCACTCAGCATAATACCGTCCAGTTCCATCCACGTTGAAGCAAATGGTGGGTATTTGTCGTTTCTAATGGCTGAGGAATATCCCATTGTATATATATAGGAGCCTTGGTGTCCATTGAAAGATGAATGGATAAAGAAGATGCAGTATATAAATGGGGTAAGATTTCAATTTTAAATAGCAAGCCTAATATTTTGAATTTTATTACTATAAATTTTACCTCAATAATGTTGATTTTTTTAAAGTATAAATTACTTGCTCTCTTACAAATTTAAAATTAAAATTACAAGTTAGGTTTGGTATTCTAATAGGTCAAACTGTCTTAACACAAATACATAAAATAATATATATATATAAATTAGTGCAAAATATGAATAGTAGGTTTTTATTCTAATACCTATTTCTACAGTTAGCTCTAAAATCTTGCTGAGTTTAAAAGATGCTAACCCATTACAGAAATTATTATGTGACCCATTTCTGAGACAAATATTTTCCAAGACTGCTATGCCAAATGCTGTTTCAGGTGCTTGGGATACAATTGAGAAAAATTTCCTGCCTTTATGTAACTAACACTGTAGTGAGAGGAGATATTTTAAAATATATATTAGTAATAAACCAAAAAAAACCTGATAAGTTGTATGAAACTGTATTCTGTGGGAAATAAAAGAAAATGTTGCAAGATAAGAGGGTCTGGTGTGCATAAGGAGATCATAATTTAGGTAGTGTGGTCGTGTTGGACGTCATTTAGTAGAAGGTCACATTTAGACAAGGATTTGGACTAGGAGTTAGTTGTATGGATATGTGGAGGGAGAATAATCCAGGCAGCAGGAGAAGCTTGTGAGAGAGCCTCCAGGTGTGCAAACCCTGGCCTGTTCAAGGACTCAAGGAGGCCACTGTGGTTGAAGTGGAGTGGAAGTGGAGGTAGACCACTGCAGTGAGTGCAGAGAAGTGCAGGAGATGGATCCTATAGGGCCTTGAAGGCCACCGTAAGGATTTATATTTTCCTCTTTTACTCTGAGAATGGGGGCTACGGAGACTGGTTAAGTATGTAGGGCTTTTTGAGCGCTAGCTTCAGAACTGGCACACGATGTGTTCCACTGCATTAGGTGGCTAAATCACATCATAAGAGGGACTCAGAGGAGGGAAAGAGACTCCACCTCTTGATGGTAAGAGTTGCCAAATCACTTTGTGAGGGGCATGGATACAGGGGAGAGTTTTATATTCCTTTGCAACATAGAGATTATTGATATCCTCACATTGTGCTGAAATCTTCAATGGAACCAGTGGAACTAATCACATATATGGACTCAAAGAGTAGGGTAATGGTCTATATTTGGAAATGGTGGTAAAGGAGTATCTTCAGCAAGGAAAACAAACCTCTCATAGCACTGCCTCTTAGGTAGTCAACAATGTTATTGCAATGGAAACCATGTGCCAGGGAAACTCAACACACCTTGAAAAATGCCACCATCCTTTCAGAGAGTAGAGAAGAAAAAAATCCTTAATCCAGTTGAAAGCAATTCTTCATTAAAATGTGTATTCTGGAGCGACATCACCAAGACGATGACATAGGCTGTGCTTGACTTTGCTCCTCCACATAGGAACAAATAACAACTATTCAAAAATAAGTCACCACTGAGAGAACCCCAGAACTCAAGGATGATACTGAAGCACCCCTCCACCATAGAGACCATGACAGACTGCAGTAGAAGGAGAAAAGAAGTGGCTATAAGTTGACCCATTACCCTTCCCCTAGGCCAGCATGTGGGGAGGCTTTCCTTGAGCCTTGGGTTCCTCTAGTAGGGAAAGAGAACCTGTGTTGGGGGAGAGGGGGGCAAAACCATCAAAAGAAACCATCAACAAAATGAAAAGACAACCTATGGAATGGGAAGAAAATTGCAAACTATATATCTGATAAGATGTTAATATCCAAGATATATAAAGAACTCATCCAACTGAAGAGCAAAAATGCAATTAAATGAGTAAAGTACCTAAATAGATATTTCTCCAAGGAAGATAAGTGGAAGGCCACCAGGTACATAAAAAGGTACTCAATATCACTAGCCATTATGAGAATGCAAATTAAAATCACAATGAGATATCACGTCACACCTGTTAGAATGTTCATTATCAAAAAGACAAGGGATAATAAGTGTTAGCGAGGATGTGGAGAAAAGAGAACCCTTGTGCCCTGTTGGTGGGAATGTAAATTGGTGCAGCCACTGTGCAAAACAGTAGGGAGTCTCCTCAAAAAATTAAAAAGAAAATGAAAGTGCCAACTCAAAAAGATATCTGCATTCTCACAGTCACAGCTCCCATGTTCACAGTAACATTATTTACAAGCATCAACACATGGAAACAACCTAAGTGTCCATCAATGTGATATATATATCACATTTTCCCTATTCATTCATATATATTCCCTATTCATTCCCTATTCATTCATATATATATATATCACAAAAAATATTCTGCTAGATATATATGTAATCTTCCATTATAGATCTACATATATTCTAGCTATAGATCTATATATCTAGTAGAATATTACTCAATCATGAAAAGAGGAAA